GGCGACGAAGCTCTTCTCCTCGTGACACCTGTGCCACTGGCTTTGCACCCTTCGCTGCCGTCTCCTCACCTCTCTCCCCTTTCTCTTTGCTTTAGATCAGCTGTCATGCTTCGGTCTCCGCGCCCAGAAGAGGACTCGGCTACCGAAGTCATCGTTCCGAGCTAGATGCGCCCGAACCGACCAGCTGCCATGGAAACGGGCTGCACGGAGGAGCCTGCCCGGACCAGGTCGCAGTCGGTGGTCTGCGGGCAGCGGGAGGGAAGCGACCAGCCGCGGGAGGAGAACGGGGACCGGCTCCCCCAGCCGGGCAAAGGCTCCATCGCGGGCGCGGTTTTTTTTCAGCAGCCTCAGCCACCCCCTGGCAAGCTGAAGAAAACGGCTTTCAAACTGTTCGGAGGGAAGAGGAGCATCTGTACGCTGCCCAGTTTCTTTGGAGGCAGAAGCAAAGGCCAGGGGAAAGCAGCCTCTAAAAAGGGCCTCAGTAAATGTAAGACCCACGACGGGCTCAGCAGTGCTGCGTGTGACAAGGGCGGCGGGGCGCAGCCGGAAAGCCCTTCGGAGGGGAGCAGGGACTCGCAGCCTTGCCCTTTGCCGAGCTCCCAAAGCGCTCACCTGGCCGTGGACACCAGCGCCAAGTTTGATTTTGGCCAGCAGGACAGCTCTCCACCTGGGAGTATCGAGGGCTGTGAGAAAAAGCCCAATGGAGATAAGTCCTCCTGTCCCAGACCCAAGAAAGGCCTGAAAGGGTTTTTTAACAGCATCCGGCGTCACCGGAAGAGCAAGGCTGCCGAGTGTGAGAAAGCAGAGCTCCCCGAGTGGACCGGGGATTCGGAGGAGGCCAGCAAAGGTCCTGGCGTGGGAGCAGAGAGCCGAGGGGCCGGGGAGGGAAGCGGACTGGGACCTGTCCCTCTTGCCGCGGCCTGCCCGGGGAGCTCGGAGGATGACCGCTCGGTAGGCACAGGCGACAACGGTTTTTTTTTGAGCCCGGCTGCCTCGCGGCCGATGAAGGCAGCTCTGAGGGTGATGTGGTGGCGATGCCGGGGAAGAGGGACATTCTGGGTACGAAGTCAGAGGCTGACGCTGTTGTCTGCTCAGAGTTTGACCCTGGCAATCTGCTGCTGGCCTTTCATCCGGACTTCATGGACAACGACCCTCCCTGCCTACACTCTGGGGACCTGCTAAGCCTCATCTTAGGAGACGTCACATCCCTGAAGAGCTTTGATTCCCTGACGGGGTGCGGAGATGACATTGCTGAGCCCGACATCGCCGAGAGCACCATCTCTGTGGAGCGCAGCAGAGATACTGCTAAACGGAGCTCCTGCCTGGTCACCTACCAGGGCGGTGGGGAGGAGATGGCCATACCCGAGGAGGCGGAGGAGTACCTCCACCAGATATGGAACAGCAGCACGGCAGGGGACAGGAGCTACGGAGCCCAGGTCTCGAGTAGCAGTTTGGAGACGCATGCCTCGCACGAGGTGGAAGCCCACCCCTACATGGGGGACGCGATGGACGGCATTGACCTCTTGACACCACAGAGTGACCAGCAAGAGTCCGCCCCTAATAGTGACGAGGGCTATTACGACTCCACCACGCCGGGGCCGGAGGACGAAGCCAGAGATGGGCTCGGTGAGATCAAGAAGGACCGTCTTCCCAGAGACAGTTACAGCGGTGATGCACTTTATGAGTTTGACGCGCTGATGAGTCCCTCTCACGGGGAGGAATCCTTGTTTGAGAGCAAAGTTTCACGCCCGGGGATCTTCAGCTACTTCTTGGACTTCTGCCTCCCTGCTGAGAAGAGCCTGATCCAGATGATGGATCAGAAAAGGGGGGTGATGGAAACGGAGGAGGAGCGGCTAGCGGCCATTCAGAAAGAGCTGCTGTACTGGGAGCTGCAGAGGGAACCGGGCTTGAAACGACTCGATGTTCCCAGCAAGGAGAAGTGTCCCCGGGAAACGCAGTGCGTTGAATGTAAAACTAGAGCAGCCAGCTCGACTGGCAAGAATCAGAGTGGCCTTGGTAGAGAGCAGGTGGCCTCGCACGCCCCCGACAGGGGTGTGAATAGTGGGGGTTCGGTGGCTAGAGCTGAAAATCCAGAGTGGAGGGATTTTCCAGGGACTCTGCATCCAGAAAACTGTTACAACAGCCAAAAAACCCAAGGAAGTTGCCTTACTCAGCTCACGAAGAGCAACTTGGGGTTCGATTCAGACCGGGATTGTGAGTTGTTTGGGGGCTCCATCCACAGCGGCGTAGCCACAGCCAAAGCGGGGATGTTCCCCGGCTACAGACTCCCAGAGCACGAGTGTGGCGGCGGAGCGGAGACCACCACCGGCAAGCCCCAGGCGGGCAGCGAACGCGAGCCCGAGCATGCTGTGAGCTTCTCGCAAGCGCTGGTGGAGTTTGCCAGCAGCGGGACCCTCTTCTCCAGCCTCTCCGAAAGTCTGGGCAGTTCTGCCTCCGGCTCCTCCTTCACCCAGAACCTCCCTGCCCTCCCCACCATGGTCACCTTCGACGTCGTGGATGTGGAGCAGGAAGGAGAAGGGGAGTGCGAGCAGCACCCCGAGATGAACGCCGGCGAGGACATTGCCGAGGCCTTTGACGATGGCTACGGACGGAAAGAGTCGTTGGCCGAATGTGACGAGAGAATGTCCCCGGGGTACTCCCCGGGCTCCTTCCAGAGCTGC